GTGAGCCAAGATTGCACCACTGCACTCCAGCCTGGGTGACTGAGTGATTCCGTCTCAAAAAAAAAAAAAAAAAGAAAGAAAGAAGATAGCTCAGGGTGGCTGGGTGCGGTGGCTCACGCCTTTAATCCCAGTACTTTGGGAGGCCAAGGCAGGCCAGTCACTGGAGGTCAGGAGTTTAAGACCAGCCTGGCCAACATGGTAAAACCCATCTCTACTAAATCCACCCCTGGTTTTCTGTTGACCAAACTCTTTACTCCTCCCCACCTACCACAGAGTTACGAGGAGCAGGAGCTGCTGCGCCTCATCTACTATGGGGGCATCCAGCCTGAGATCCGCAAGGCTGTGTGGCCCTTCCTCCTGGGCCACTACCAGTTCGGGATGACGGAAACAGAAAGGAAAGAGGTTGGTTACCCGCCATGGGCACTGGGGTCTTTGGCAACAAAAGGAGCCAGATAGTGTGGGATTGGGGAGCTCTGGTTTCATGCTGGACCAAGGAGGGGCAGGAGACACAGGGGAGATGGAAACCTGAAGGCGGCTCTGTCTGGTAGAAACACAACACAAGCCACATAGAGATTTCTTACGTCTTTAAATTTGGGACTAAGTGTAGATTCATATGCAGTTGTAAGAGATTAATGCAGAGAAATCTCATACATCTTTTACCCAATTTTTTTTCTGTTGGTAACATCTTGCAAAACGTTGAGGCAGTAAGATATCAGAACCAGAGTATTGACATTGAGGTAATATACTCACCTTAATCAGACTTTCCCAGTTTTACTTGTTCTGTGTGTGTGTGTGTGTTTTCTTTACAGTTTTCTCACGTGTAGATCTGTGTCCATCACCACGGCCAACATACAGAACACTTTTAATGCTATAAGGATCCCCATGTTGTCTTATAGAGCCAGATCCACCTCCCCCATACCCACACCCTGGCCCTAATCCCTGGCAATCACTAATAATATATTCTTCATTTCTATAATTCTGTCATTTCAAGAATGTTATAAAATGGGATGATCCAGTGTGTAACATTTTGGGATTGATTTTCTTTCACTCAGCATAAATCCTCATCCAAGTTGTTGAGAGTATCGAGAGTTGATTCCTTTTGATGGCTGAGTAGTATTCCATGATATGGATGTAGCAGAGTTTAACTTTCACCTGCTGCGAGACAGCTGAGTTTTTTCTAGTTTTTTGGCTGTTACTAACCAAACTGTAATGAATATTTGTGTACAGTTTTTGTACGAGTATAAATTGTCATTTCTCTGGGATAAATGATGAAGAATGTAATTGCTGGGTCATATAGTAGTTGCATGTTCAGTTTTATGTGAAACTTACAAACTTTCACAATAGCACATGCCGTTAGTCCCAGCTGGAGGAGGCTGGAGCAAGAGATTCACTGGAGCTCAGGAGTTCACGTTCAGCCTGGGCGACATCTGGAGACACTGTCTCTAAGGGGAAAAAAAGAAAGTGCCACCCTTTTGCAGTGGCTGTACCATTTTATATGTCCACCAGCAAAATGGGAGTGCTCCATACTTCCATCTTCACCAGATTTTTGCCTTGTCATTATTTTTAATTTCAGCCACCTGACACGTGTAAATGATATTTCATTGTTTTTATTTGCATATTCCAAATGGCTAGTGAAGTTTAAGGTCTTTTCATGTGTTTATTTGCCATTGTGTATCTTCTCTGGTGAAATGTCTGCTAACGTCTTTTGTCCACCTTCTAATTGGATTTTTTTTTTTTCTGTACAGTTAGAGAGTCCTGTATATACTCTGACAACAGTCCTTTGTTAGGATATGGGACTTGCACATATTTTCTCCTAGTCTGTAACTTCTCACCTTGTACCAAGCAGGATCTTCTGCAAAACATTTTTTGAAATTTTTAATGAAACTCAGTTTACCAATTTCTCCTCTTCTGAATTGGGCTTTTGGTGTCAAGTCTAAGAAAGTTTTGCCTAGCCCTAGGTCTTGATCTTCTCCTATGATTTATCCTAAAAGTTGTCTATTTTACATTTGACATAAAATCTTTTCAGTTCTTTTTTTTTTTTTCCCGTTTATTTTTTTTTTTGCTTTTTGGGTTTTTTTTTTTTTTTTTTTTTTAATATAGTGTGTCATTTAGGTCAAAGTTCATTTTTTGCTTATGAGTGTTCAATTGCTTTGGCATCATTTATTGAAAAGATGTCCTTCCTCCATTGAATTGCTTTTGCACTGTTAAAAAAAAAAAGCAGTTGGGAATATATGTGTTGGTCTGTTTCTGGGTTCTCTCTTCTGTTCTGGTGATTTATGAGTCTGGCCTTCTGCCGGTTCCACTCTGTCTTGGTTATTGTAGCACATGGATAATTTTAAATGTCTTCATAGTGATGTTTTAAAAGTAAAAAGAAATATATGCAATTCATATTTCTGAACTTTTTATTTTGAAATATAAATGGTCTCCAACTTCCAATGGTTGGTCTTACAATTTTTTGACTTCATGATGGGTTTCTCAGGGTATTAAATGTAATTTTTCTGTTTTTGAGATGGAGTCTCGCTCTGTTGCCCAGACTGGAGTGCAGTGGTGTGATCTTGGCTCACCGTAGCTTCCGTCTCCTGGGTTCAAGCAATTTCCCCCCTCCCCTCAAGTACCTGGGATTACAGATGCCCACCACCATGCCCGGCTAATTTTTGTATTTTTAGTAGAGACGGGGTTTCACCATGTTGGCCGGGCAGCTCTCAAACTCCTGACCTCAGGTGATCCACCCACCTCAGCCTCCTAAAGTGCTGGGATTACAGGCGTGAGCCACCACCCCCGGCCTTAAATGCATTTTTGACTTAAGATATTTTCAACTTAGGATGCATTTATTGGGACATAACCCCATCATAAGTCGAGAAGCATTGGTAATTATAAGTTCACTGGAAGCTGCAAAAAGTAACAGGTCCCAGGTGCCCATCACCCAGCTTTCCTCAGTGGTAACAGTTTACGTAACTAAAGTACACTGTCAGAATCAGAGCATTAACACTGGCACAATACAACTAGCTAGACTACAGGCCTTACTGGGACTTCAGCAGATTTTGCATCTGCTTGTGTATGTTTTTATGTGTGTGTAGTTCCATGACATTTCATCAAGATGAGATTCATTTCAGTATTTTATTTAACCAGATATGTCCAATATATTATCCCTCTGTTGACACCTCGGGGCCCCTCTGTTGACACCTCAGGTGACATTGCATCTACCCTGGCAGGTGGACGAGCAGATGCATGCCTGCTACGCACAGACCATGGCCGAGTGGCTGGGCTGCGAGGCGATCGTGCGGCAGAGGGAGCGGGAGTCCCATGCGGCCGCCCTGGCCAAATGCTCCTCCGGGGCCAGCCTGGACAGCCACCTGCACCGGATGATGCACAGGGACTCAACCATCAGCAACGAGGTGATGGGCGGCTGGCCTCGGGGAGCCAGGGGCTGGGGTCTGCTTCACTGGGCTGTTCTAAGAGTGGTGAAGGCTGGGTACCTGGGGCCTGGTGACAGTCTCGGCCCTGGCTTTTTCTTTAAGAGGGGGGTGACTTTGGAATCAGACCTGAGTTCAAACTCTAGTCACACCTTTTATGGTTCTGGGGTGTCCTACCAGTACCTTTTCTTCTTCTGGGCCTAGTTTTCTCCGTCTGTAAAATGGGAATAACCAGGTGTAGAGGAGGTTTGTGTACAGTCCAGACAAGACAATGTATATAAAGTGCCCAGCACACTGCCTGACTCTCACTGATCCAGCAAATGCTTGTTGAGCATCTACTACGTGCAGGTACTACTGGGAATGTCCTGGGATATCAGGAATATTCCAGTGACCCAGACAGACTTGTCTGACTTCCCAGAACCTCAAGTTTAACAGCCCAAAGTAGGAGCTCAGAAAAAAGGTAATTCTTGGCTGGGGACAGTGGCTCACACCTGTAATCTCAGTACTTTGAGAGGCCGAGGCAGGTGGACCACCTGAGGCCAGGACTTTGAGACCAGACTGGCCAACATGGTGAAATGCTGTCTCTACTAAAAATATAAAAATTAGCCGGCCGGGCGCGGTGGCTCAAGCCTATAATCCCAGCACTTTGGGAGGCCGAGGCGGGTGGATCACGAGGTCAAGAGATCGAGACCATCCTGGTCAACATGGTAAAACCCCGTCTCTACTAAAAAATGCAAAAAATCAACTGGGCATGGTGGCACGTGCCTGTAATCCCATCTACTCAGGAGGCGGAGGCAGGAGAATTGCCTGAACCCAAGAGGCGGAGGTTGCGGTGAGCTGAGATCGCGCCATTATACTCCAGCCTGGGTAACAAGAGTGAAACTCCGTCTCAGAAAAAAAAAAAAAAAAAAAAAAAAAAAAATTAGCCAAGTGCCTGTAATCCCAGCTACTTGGGAGGCTGAGGCAAGAGAATCACTTGAACCCAGGAAGTGGAGGTTGCAGTGAGCTGAGATCGCGCCACTGCACTCCAGCCTGGGCAACAGGAGCAAAACTCCATCTCAAAAAAAAAGTTAATTCTCTTCAGCAGTGATTGTATCAGTCATCAGTTGCCACAATAACAGTGAGTAACAGCCAACCACCAAAAGTCAGTGTGGGTCAGCTGGGAAGTTCTGTTCTTAGCTGGGCTGGCTGAGGCTTACTCTGGCACCAGCTGCCTGTAGCTGGTCAACTAAAGCACTTGTTTATCTCCATCGGGCTCTCTTATTTGTCTGGGGTGACTCAGCTGGGCTCCACGTGCGTCACTGCCCAGCAGGTTAACCCAGCCATGCTCTCATGGTGAAAGCAGATGCCGTAGAGAGAAAGCAGAAATACACAGCAGAAATGAAATATTGGTTGGCTGCCTGTTTGTTATTTTTTTCCCTCGTTTTTTTTTTCATGTCTCTATTATTAAGCACAATTATAGGCATACCCATTTTTAGACTGCATTCTAGCCTGGGCAATAAAGCAACACCCCTGTTCTCTCTCCCTCTTTCTCTTCCTGTTTCTTCCTCTCCTTCATTCTTTTTTTATTATTATTATTATTTTTCTTTCTTTTATTTAAAAAAAATCTACTTTTTTTTTCTTTGAGATAGAAAAAAAAAAAAAAGAAATGCACAGCGGGGGTTGAAGCCTCTGCTGAGTCAAGTTTGCTAACACCCCATTAACAAAAGCAAGCCACATGGCCAAGCCTAGTGTCAGAGTAGGCACGGACTATGAGGTTATAGGGCAGAACCATGTATACAGGGATCAGGTGAAAAAAAAAAAAAAAATGGAGCCATGAATAGAACCAGTTACTCTGTGAGTTGAACTAAAATATTAGCCAGAAGTCTCAACTACAGAGCAGTTAAAGGTGGGGTGCTCTAGTTGCAGCGGTGAGAGGTGGGAACCCAGAGGTCAAAGTAGTCTCTGAGGAGGTTCCAGGAAGCAGGGAGTGGTCCCCCCTTTCATTTTACATCTAGGAAGCTGACGCTGTGAGAGAGGACTTGGGCAAGCTAGGAAGAGAGATGAAACTAGACTTTCTGGCTCCCAGCCCGGCCGTCCTGCTCTGGACAGGGTGCAAACTCACCCTCCCTCCCTCCTGCTCCTTTTTCTCTCAGTCCTCTCAGAGCTGCAGTTCGGGCCACCAGAACATCCGCCTACACAGTGACTCCAGCAGCAGCACACAGGTGACCTTGTGGAGTCCCCGCCCCCTCCCACCCATGTCCCTCCCTTCCGCCTGGGGTCATGGGGCTTGGGTGTCCATCATCTGCAGGTCACTTTTTGCTTTATTTGTTTTAGCTTTTTATATTGGCATTAAACATCATTTTTTTTTTTTTTAGTGATGAAAGAAATATGTGGATCTGTCACCCCTGTAAAACACTAAAATGTTGCAGAGAAAGTCAACGTCTGCTTTGATCATCCTTAATCTCTGCCTGCCCTCCCTTGAAATAACACCACTATCTTCAGTTTGCAGTGTTTCTTTCAAAACCTTCTGTATGACTGTACAGACACAGAAATATGTAGATAATATATAGCAATGTTTGGTAAATTTTTTTAAATGTGTACATAAATACCATCCTATATGTTGTTCCAGCCTGGGCAACAGAGCGAGACTCCATCTCAAATAAATAAATACTCACATACATACATAAAGATAAAATTATGTGCACATGGTAAAAGTCCGTATGATGAAAAGCTACTGTCTCCCCTTATTTTGATTCCCCATTACCCGTCCTCAGAGCAAACTGCAGGCAGGACGTGGTGGCACATGCCTGTAATCTCAGCACTTTGGGCGGCCTAGGTGGGCAGATCACTTGAGGTCGGGAGTTCGAGACGAGCCTGGCTAACGTGGTGGACCCCCATCTCTACTGCAAATTCAAAAATTAGCTGGGCATGGTGGCAGATGCCTGTAATTCCAGCTACTTGGGAGGATGAGGCAGGAGAATTACTTGAACCTGGGAGGTGGAGGTTGCCATGAGCTGAGATTGTGCCACTGCACTCCAAGCTGGGTGACACAGCGAGACTTCATCTCAAAAAAACACAAAACAAAACAGAGTCAACTGCAGTACTTTCTTATTTCTTTCTAGATCATTCTATGCATACACAAGCACATAAATCACTTTTTTATTGCTGTTTGAGATGGTGGCTCACTCCCATCACCCAGACTGGAGTGCTGTGGCACAGTCCCAGCTCACTGAAGCCTTGAGTTCCCGGGCTCAGGTGATTCTTCCACCTCAGCCCCCCAGGTAGCTGAGGTGTGCACCACCACACCAAAATACCACACTCATTTTTTTGGTATTTTTTGCAGACCGGATTTCACCACATCGCCCAGGCTGGTGTCAAACTCCTGGGCTCAATCAGTCCGCCTGCCTCAGCCTCCCAAAGTGCTGGGATTGCAGGCCTAAGCCACCATGTACAGCCTAGATCACTTTCTTATTTGTCACACATGGGAGCCTATCTTACACCTTGTTTCGCCTCACTCTTTTCACTGGCTGTATGATATTCCACTGCATGCTTGATCTGTATTTAAGCCGATCACCTGTTGTTGGATATTTAGGTCACTGCTGTAAGTAGTGCTGCCGTGGACATGTTGGTCCATCTGTTTTTGTGCACCTTGTCCTCAGGTGTTTGAGTCTGTGGATGAGGTGGAGCAGGTGGAGGCTGAAGGCAGATCGGAGGAGAAACAGCCCAAGATCCCCAATGGGAACCTAGTGAACGGCACCTGTTCCCCAGACTCGGGTCATCCTTCCTCGCAGAACTTCTCTTCAGGCTTCTCAGAGCACTCAGAGCCCAGTCTGAGCACAGAAGACAGTGTCCTGGACGCCCAGCGGAACACTCCCCCGGTGCTGCGCCCTGGGGATGGCAGTGTGGATGACAGGCAGAGCAGCGAGGCCACCACATCCCAGGATGAGGCCCCCCGGGAGGAGCTGGCCGTGCAGGACAGCCTGGAGAGCGACCTCCTGGCCAATGAGAGCATGGATGAGTTCATGTCCATCACGGGCAGCATGGACGTGGCCCTGCCTGAAAAGGACGATGTCGTGATGGAGAGCTGGAGGGGCAGTGAGGCAGAGAAACATGGCCAGGCGGACAGCGAGGACAACCTCTCAGAGGAGCCCGAGATGGAGAGTCTCTTCCCTGCCCTGGCTTCTCTGGCTGTGACTACTTCTGCCAATGAGGTGTCCCCCGTGTCTTCCAGCGGTGTCACCTACTCTGTAAGTCACCAGAACCTTCCATTCCATTTCCTTCTTTCTAGCTGCAGGAGGGAGGGAAAAGCCGGTTATCCAGAATGAACCAGGAGTCAGACCTCTGGTTCCTTGCATTTTTTTTTCCACCATGGAGGATTCACTGTAGAAACCCATTTGGGAGAGAAGATAATATAGTATTTTTAAAAGGCAGGCTTTGCTGTCAACAGTGCTGGGTTCAGATCCCACCTTCGGCAAGTCACTTTATGCTTCTGAGCCTCAGTTTTCCTATATGTCTCTTACTTCCTTTCCTGAGTGGTTTTCAGAACAAATGAGTTAAAGCCCGGTGTGCCTGCTGCGTAGGAAGCACCCAGCCAACAGTAGCCTTCCTTGTGACTTAAGTCTAATTCCTTGCAAATATTCAGATTTGGTTCCTTACCGGAAAGACTAAACCAAAGGACATCACTTGAAAGGGAGGGTCGTATTCATTTATCTTTTAAAAGAACTTGTTATTTCTTTCACAGATAGGCAAGCCCCTCCAGGGTCAAACACCGAGAAAAGGCTGAATATAAAACCCAGAAGATACCTGCCCCATCTCACCCCATTTAACCCTCCGCAGAAGCAATCATATTTACTTATTCTGCCCAAATTATCCGGTGTTGACCCCATGTCTCTGACACACTGGCATTGCTGCTGCTTGATCATTTTTTCTTTCAGTTTTAGACATTTTCTAGTGACTCCCCACTGTGAAAGAGGATGACGGCCGGGCGCGGTGGCTCACGCCTGTAATCCCAGCACCTTGGGAGGCGGAGGCGGGTGGATCACGAGGTCAACAGATCGAGACCATCCTGGCCAACTTGGTGAAACTCCGTCTCTACTAAAAATACAAAAAAAACTAGCCGGGCATGGTGGCACGCGCCCATGGTGCCAGCTACTCGGGAGGCTGAGGTGGAAGAATCGCTTGAACCAAGGAGGCGGAGGTTGCAGTGAGCCGAGATTGCGCCACTGCATTCCAGCCTGGCGACAAAGCAAGACTCCATCTCAAAACAAAAAGGATGGTTTAGTTCTCATTTCCTCCCAACCCCCAGCTCTCACCACACGTGACCCCTTCCCATCCCTGTCCTTCTAACATAGTTATGTAATGATTGAAATGTGTATAGTGTTATCATATTTCATGCATATACTGTAAATGTCAGTGCTTGCATTTTAATTTATTTATTTATTTAGAAACGGTGTCTTGGTCTGTTGCCAGGCTGGAGTGCAGTGGTGGGATCTCGGCTCACTGCAACCTCTGCTTCCCAGATTCAAGCAATTCTCCAGCCTCAGCTTCCCAAGTAGCTGGGACTGCAGGTGCATGCCACCACACCCAGCTAATGTTTTGTATTTTTAGTAGAGACAGGGTTTCACCACGTTGGCCAAGATGGTCTTAATCTCTTAACCTCATGATTTGCCTGCCTCGGCCTCCCAAAGTGCTGGGATTACAGGCGTGAGCCACCGCGCCCGGCCACTTGCATTATTTTAACAGTATAATACATAAGCCACGCAGTAAACTGTTCTAATTTTTGTCTTTCCTGCAAAAAAACCGAAGTTTTTCCAGATGTGTTTTTATTTTCCTGTTTGCTTTTTCTTAGTTTCCTGCATATTTAAAGTCAATTCACCCCCAGAAGTCTTTACCATTTTCCTAAATCTCTTTTCGAACATTCAGACTCCTCAGGTTTTCTGTTTGTTCTGTGTGTTTAAGGAGTTCTCTCCAAAACACTACTGAGGCCCTGCGCTCCACTGCACTGATGTGTCGTTGTCATTCACTGTCTTCCTCCATCCTGGTCGGGAGCTGCCTTTTGTATCATCACGTTTTCCTTTCCCTTAGCCTACTCTTTGTTTTAGATGAACCACATACTTCAGTGGCATCCACATTTTTACTTTTCATTTCTCTTCTACTGCAGGCCTCTAGTCTGGGATCATTGCATTTTTGTGTGAAGTTCCTTTAGAGTTTCCTTTAGCAGAGTCTCTCATTTGTATTCATCATGAGTTGTATGCATTTTGCCCTCATTCTTGAAAGAGTTCCACTGAATATGCAACTCAAGATTGCAGGGATGTTTTCTCAGGACTTTGAAGATACTGTTCCACTGTCTTCCAAGTTCCATTGTTGCTGTTGAGAAGTCAGATGTCCAATTGTCATTCCTTTAAAGATAATTTTTTGTTCTTGGCTACTTTTTTTTTTTTTTTTTTGAGACAAGGCATTACTCTGTCACCCAGGCTGGGGTGCAGTGGCATGATCTCAGCTCACTGGCAACTTCCACCTCCCAGATTCAGGCAGTTCTCCTGCCTCAGCCTCCCAAGTAGCTGGGATTACAGGTGCGTGCCACTACACCCAGCTAATTTTTGTATTTTTAGTACAGGTAGTATTTTGCCATGTTGGTCAGGCTGGTCTCAAACTCCAGACCTCAGGTGATCTGCCTGCCTCAGCTTCCCAAAGTGCTGGGATTACAGGCATTAATCACTGTTCCTGGCCCCTTTGGCTACTTTTAAGATTTTTTTTTTTTTTGGTCTTATGTGCGATTATGTGTCTAAGTATGGGTTTCTTTTCCTTAAATGTTTCTTATTTTCTTGCCATATCATTGAGCCATTTCAAAATTAAGGTTAATGTTCAAGGCAGCCAGGCCAGTACATTACCAGAATTTGACCTCTATTCAGTTCTTCCATTCCCCTTGTCCAGTTTTCAGCAGGGAGAGGGTTCATTTCCAGCTGTAGTGGTAACTCTCTGAGGGAGAATTTTCATCCTGCAAATTAAAAGACCCTCTGGCCAGGCGCAGTGGCTCACGCCTGTAATCCCAACACTTTGGGAGGCCAAGGCGGGCGGGTCATGAGGTCAAGAGATCGAGACCATCCTGGCTGACATGGTGAAACCCCATCTCTACTAAAAATACAAAAATTAGCTGGGCGTGGTGGCTCACACCTGTAGTCCTAGCTACTTGGGTGGCTGAGGCAGGAGAATCGTTTGAACCCAGGAGGGAGATGTAGAGATGGTACCCCTGCACTCCAGCCTGGTGACACTGTGAGACTCTGTCTCAAAAAAAAGAAACAAAAACCAAAAAACCACCCCCTCAGAAAACAAACAAACAAAATCAAACACCTAACTGGTCCAGGTGAGAGATGTATTTTTAGTGACAACAGGTTAGGAGGAGGAAATAGGCTTGCTGCCCCCCCGTGGGGAGTCAGATGTAATTTTTCATTTCTTCCCCTCATCCCCCGCCCTGGTGGCCTGTAGCCAGAGCTGCTGGACCTGTACACGGTGAACCTGCACCGCATCGAGAAGGATGTGCAGAGGTGTGACCGCAACTACTGGTACTTCACGCCCGCCAACTTGGAGAAGCTGCGTAACATCATGTGCAGGTGGCTGGTGGCAGCAAGGGGATCTGGGGGATGGGATGAGGGGGTGAGATGGGGACACAGGGGGCCCACCTAGAAGTTATTTCAGCTTCTGAAGTTGGCATCATACTCACCTAGAATCCTATTTTAGCCCACAATGAAAATGTAGTAACAATAATAATATAGAACACTTATTTAGCACTTACTGTATACCAGCCACTGTCCTGAGTCCTATACTATCATCACTCACTTATTCCCCCACCCTTCGAGGTGACTATTAACCCCTTTTATACGGGACGATGTGGAGGCTCCAGGCAGAGCCTCATTGCTGAGTGGGCATTGGGCAATGGCTGAGCGGGAACTCAGCCGCGACTCTCTGGCTCTTGAATCTGTTCTTTTTCTTTCTTTAAGCCAAGATCTAAGATGGCTTATTACTGTTCACTAAAAAGATATTATTCCTGTAATCCCAGCACTTTGGGAGGCTGACGTGGGAGGATCACTTGAGGCCACATGAGTTCCTCACAGACTTCAAAAAAGCAGATACCAGCCTGGGCAACATAGTGAGACCCTATCACTACAAAATGATTTAAAAAAGAAAACAAAAACTCAACATTTATCTGGACATAGTGGCATGCACCTGTAGTCCTAGATACTCGGGAGATGGAGGCAGGAGGATAGCGTGAGGGTTGCAATGAGCTGTGATTGTACCATTGTACAGTTGTGCCACTGTACCCCAGCCTGGGTGACAGAGTGAGACCCCGTGTCTAAAAAAATAATGAAAAATTATTGTTGATATTTCTAAACATGTGAAAGTAACACACACTTGTTAAAAATCTAAATCACGGCCAGCGCGGTGGCTCACACCTATAATCCCAGCACTTTGGGAGGCCGAGGCAGGCGGATCACCGGAGGTCAGGAGTTTGAGACCAGCCTGACCAACATGGTGAAACCCCGTCTCTAGTAAAAATACAAAAATTAGCTGGACGTGGTGGTGCGCACCTGTCATCCCAGCTACTCAGGAGGCTGAGTCAGGAGAATTGCTTGAACCCGGAGGTGGAGGTTGCAGTGAGCCGCGATCATGGCATTACACTCCAGCCTGGGAGACAGAGCGAGACTCTGTCTCAAAAAAAAAAAAAAAAAAAAAATCTAAATCAGTCACAACTCTAATTCCTGCCCTTTGGGAGGCCAAGACAGGAGGATCGCTTGAGGTCAGGAGTTCGAGACCAGCCTGGGCAACATAACAAGACCTCATCTCTACAAAAGTTTTAATAAATCAGCCAGGCATGATGGTGTGTGCCTGTTGTCCCAGCTACCTTGGGAGGCTGAGGCAGCAGGATGGCTTGAGCCTGGGAGGTTGAGGCTGCAATGAACTGTGATCACACCACTGCACTCCAGCCTGGGCAATCAAAGGAATTAGAAGTTCATAAGATAGAAAGAGAAACTTCTTTCATCTCTGCCCATCAGTGCCACTTACCCAGAATTAATGACTGCTAACAATTTAGTAATACCTAATGGATTGTATATTGTATAACATAGTATGAATGTACTTTTTTTTTTTTTTTTGAGACAGAGTCTTGTTCTGTCGCCAGGCGCCAGGCTAGAGTGCAGTGGCACAATCTCGGCTCACTGCAACCTCTGCCTCCCGTGTTCAAGCAATTCTCCTGCCTCAGCCTCCTGAGTAGCTGAGATTACAGGCACATGCCACCATGCCCAGCTAATTTTTGTATTTTTTAGTAGAGAAGGGGTTTCACCATGTTGGCCAGGTTGGTTTCAATCTCTTGACCTCGTGATCCGCCTGCCTTGGCCTCCCAAAGTGCTGAGATTACAGGCTTGAGCCACTGTGCCTGGCCTATTTTTTTTTTTTTAATGGAGACGGATGTCTGCAACCTCCGCCTCCTGGGTTCAAGCAGTTCTCCTACCTCAGCCTCCTGAGTAGCTGGGATTACAGCCACACGCTGCCACACCCGTCTAATTTTTCGTATTTTAGTAGAAATGGGGTTTCACCATGTTGCCCAGGCTGGTCTCAAACTTCTGAGCTCAGGCAATTGGCCTGCCTCAGCATCTCAAAGTGCTAGGATTACTAGCGTGAGCCATCGTACCTGCCCTGAATGTACATAACTTTTAAATGTTTTAAACTATGATATAGACTGATAAGTGTTATATCATTTTAATGTACCACTTAAAAAGGGCTGGGAAGAAGTAAAAATGAACTGGCCGGGCGCGGTGGCTCAAGCCTGTAATCCCAGCACTTTGGGAGGCCGAGGCGGGTGGATCACAAGGTCAAGAGATCGAGACCATCCTGGTCAACATGGTGAAACCCCGTCTCTACTAAAAATACAAAAAAAATTAGCTGGGCATGGTGGTGCGTGCCTGTAATCCCAGCTACTCAGGAGGCTGAGGCAGGAGAATTGCCTGAACCCAGGAGGCAGAGGTTGCGGTGAGCCGAGATCGCGCCATTGCACTCCAGCCTGGGTAACAAGAGTGAAACTCTGTCTCAAAAAAAGAAAAAAAAAAAAATGAACTGACTTCTCCCTGGTTAAGGCATAAGGAGAAATCCTGGAAGACTTCACAGAGGTGGTGACCTTTTGAGATGGATTTTGACAAAGTTAAGAAAACTAATGAAACCATAGGCCAGGCACAGTGGCTCATGCCTATAATTACAGCACTTTGGGAGACTGAGGTCAGGAGTTCGAGACCAGCCTGGCCAACATAGTGAAACCCTGTCTCTACTAAAAATACAAAAATTAGCCAGGTGTGGTGGCACACACCTGTAATCCCAGCTACTTGGGAGGTTGAGGCAGGAGATTTGCTCGAACCCGGGAGGTGGAGGTTCCAGTGGGCCAAGATTGTGCCATTGCACTCCAGCCTGGGCAAAAAGAGTGAAACTCTGTCTCAACGAAACAAAACAGAAAAAAAGAAAAAGAAAACTAAATAAACCGTTTAGCATAGAGGCTAAGATCATCTATCCCTGCGTAAGGCCTCCTAGGTTCAGATACTGCCTCTACCCCTTATTATTAGGTGTATGATTTGGGGCATGTCATTTATCTGTCTATGCTTCAGCCCCTCGTCTGGCAAATGGGATAATAATGGTCCATATCTAGTTTGCAAATAGAGGGTTGAGTATACAGCAAGGGCTCAGTAAACGTAAGCTGTCATTAGCAAGGGGAAGATTGGAATTCCTGACAAAGGGAGCTGTAGGGGAAAGTTACAGAGACAAACGTTTGTGATTTATTTGTACAAAGTGAATATGTCAGTGTAGCCGGAGGGAAGACAGTGAGAAGTGATGTTTGAGGATGTGAAGATGGGCTGGGAGGCGGTTATTTCTCCTTGCACCCCTGGTAAAGGAGTTTGGATAACATCCCAGCAGACAGCAGGGTGCTTGTGCAAGTTTTGAGCCTAAAGAGACCTCCTTGAGTTACCCTGGTACTGCACATAGGATATTTGAAGAGAGAGATTGGGGACAGGGATGCAGGCAGGAGGCTGAGGAATTGGGGACCGAAGGGGGAGGACTGGAAGGGGGAGTGGGCTGGAGAGGCAGGTCGTGGCTGCCATCATTGGCCCCTTGTGTCTCTTCTAGTTACATCTGGCAACACATTGAGATTGGCTATGTCCAGGGCATGTGTGATCTTTTGGCTCCACTGCTGGTCATTCTGGATGATGGTGAGTGTGTCCTTACAGCCTCAGGGCCGGGGGTGCGTTTCCTTTCCACTGCGTGGCAGAGGGGTTAACCTCACTCTGTGACTCCATGGAATGTGGCTCCAGCCAGGTGCTCTGAAGGCCTGTCTGGTGAACCCATCAAGATCCCAGTGAATCAAAAGTCCTTTAGTTCCATGGTGCCCCATACTCAACACCCAGACAGCCCTTCGCTAGCCACTGATTGTATGAACCTGAATGAGAGCAAACAGACAAAAACAATGAACCCAGACGGCTTCACCGGTGAGCTCTATGAAGCATTTAAGGAAGAATCAATGCCAATTCTTCACGAACCCTTCAAAAAAGTAGAAAAGGAAGGAACACTTCTTAACTCATTCAATAAAGCCAGACCTCATATGAGGACTGGGTGTCTCATTGGCACCCAGACACCAACACCAGACAAAGACATAACAAGAAAACTACAGACCAGTATCCTTCGTGAATACAAATGCAGAAATTCTCAACAAAATGCCAGTAAACTTAATCCACCAAGATTTAAAACATATTAAATGCCATGACCAAGTAGGGTTTATCTCCAGAATGCAAGGGTGATTTGACATGCAAAAATCAATCAATTTAATTCACCACGTTACCAAAATAAAGGGCAAAACCCACACAATCATCTTAATTGGCACAGAAAAAACAAAATGCAACACTCTTTCATAATAAAAACATTCAACAAACTAGGTGTAGAAGGGAAACGTGATAGAGAGCATCTGCAAAAACCTCACCAATACCATCACGCTCAATGGTGAAAAACGGACACTTCCTAAGAGCAGAAACAAGACAAGTGTGTCTACTTTTGCCACCTTAGGTTCAAGCCAGGGCAATTAAGAGAGAAAAAGAAAAGTAATTCAGATTGGAAAGAAAGCAACACTATCTCTGTTCACAGATAATATGATTTTGCATGTAGATCTTAAGTCACCAAAAAAAATTAGAACTGATAAGTTTGTCAAAGTGGCACCTGCTTCTGGTGAGGTCCTCAGAAAACTTCCAGTCATGGTGGACGGTGAAGCCAGCATGTCACATGGCAAGAGAGGGAGCAAGAGAGAGAGGGAAGAAGTGCCAGGCTCTTTTAAACAACCAGATCTAACGTGAACACCATAGAGTGAGAATTCACTCGTTACTGCTAGGACAGCAGCGAGCCATTCATGAGGAATCCACCCCCATGACCCAAACACTTCCCACGAGCTCCACCTCCAACATGGAGGTCATATTTCAACATCAGAATCGGAGGGGACAGACATCCAAACCACCTCACTTGGGCAGCAGGGGAGCTGACTTTTCTGTGCTGCTTTCTCAGAGGCCCTTGCCTTCAGCTGCTTCACGGAACTCATGAAGAGGATGAACCAGAACTTCCCCCACGGAGGCGCCATGGACACGCACTTTGCAAACATGAGGTCCTTGATCCAGGTATGACTGTGTCCAGTTCTGCTTTGGACGTTTTGGGGTAACAGTAAGTAAAGCTTAATGGCTTCAGACTGAGCTATTTAGAGCCAACAGAGTCTCACTCTGTTGCCAGGCTGGAGTGCAGTGGCACAATCTCAGCTCACTGCAACCTCTGCCTCCCGGGTTCAAGCTATTCTCCTGCCTCAGCCTCCCAAGTAGCTGGGACTCCAGGCACATACCACCACGCCCAGCTAATTTTTGTATTTTTAGTAGAGACGGGGTTTCACGCTGTTGGCCAGGATGGTCTCGATTTCCTGAACTTGTGATCCACCCACCTCGGCCTCCCAAAGTGCTGAAATTACAGACGTGAGCCACCGCACCTGGCCTCTTCTATATATATACATACATATATATATATATATTTGGTTCATTTGGATGGTGAAATGCCTGTTCATATGCTTTGCCAGTTTTATTTGTACATTTTTTCCATCATTAGCATCATTTTGTAGATACTTTTCTTTTTGTACGTTCTTTTTCAAACATGCTTTTTTTCCTCACTGAATAGCATATCCGATAGCTGGAGGTATTCTTCCACCATCTGTTTTCTTACAACAGTTTTGTTAAAATATAATTTAGAGACGTAAAATTCACCATTTCGAAGTGTATGATTCAGTGGCTTTTAGGATATTCACAGAGTTATGCAACCATCACCAATTTGAGAACATTTTCATTACCCCGGAAGGAAACTCTTCACCCACTGTCAGCCACTCCTCGTTCCCTCTGTCTCCCCAGCCCCTAAAAAACCAATCAGCTACTTTCTGTTTCTGTGGATTTGCCTTTTCTAAACATTTCATATAAATTGAATCATATAATAAGTGGCCTTTTGTGACTGGCCTCTTTGATCTAGCATATTCATGTCAAGGTTCACCAGGTGTGTTTGATGCATTGCAGCATATATCAAAACTTAGTTCGAGGCTGGGTGCCGTGGATCATGCCTGTAATCTCAGCACCTTGGGAGGCCAAGGCAGGTGGATCACCTGAGGTCAGGAGTTCAGGACCAGCCTGGCCAACATGGTGAAACCCTGTCTCTACTAAAATTACAAAAATTAGCCGGGCATGGTGGCAGGCACCTGTAATCCCAGCTACTTAGGAGGCTAAGGCATGAGAATCACTTGAATCCAAGAGGCTCAGGTTGCAGTGAGCTGAGATTGTGCCACTGCACTCCAACCTGGGCGATAGAGCAAGACTCAGTCTCAAAAACAAACAAACTTAGTTTGTTTTTATTGCCAGATAATATTAAATTAGATTGTATGGGTGTGCCACTTTTTATTTTTCCGTTCACGTCTTGATGACATTTGAGTTGTTGGCTATTGTGAGTAATGCTATTACACACATTCATTCATGTACAGATTTTTATGTGGATATATTTTTCTTTTGTTTTTCTAGACAAGGTCTCACTCTGTCACCCAGGCTGAAGACAGTGGTGTAATCATAGTTCGTTGAAGCCTTGAGCTCCTGGGTTCAAGTGATACTCCCTCTTTAGCCTCCTGAGTAGCTTGGACTATATGCCCATGCCACCATGCCAGGCTAATTTAAAAAAAAAATTTTTTTTTTAGAGATAGGGTCTTGCTATGTTGCCCAGGCTGGTCTCAAACTCCTGGCCTCAAGTGATGCTCTTGTCTTGGCCTCCCAAAATGCTGAGCCACCACATTCTTCTTGGGGCTACGCCTAAGAGTGGAACTGCTGCATCCTTAGGAGGATGTAGCATCTTTAAGTTCTGTGTTTAAGTTTCTGAGCAATTACCGAACTGTTTTCCACAGCAGGCACGCCATTTTAAATTCTCAGGAGCTGTGTGTGGGGGTTCCAATTTCTCTGCATCCTCGCTAACACTTGTTATTGTCTGTCATTTTGAATTTTAACTATCCTAGTGAGTGTGAATTGGTATCTTGTTGTGTTTTTTTGTTTTTTTTTTTTTTTGAGATGGAGTTTTGCTCTTGTTACCCAGGCTGGAGTGCAATGGCGCGATCTCGGCTCACCACAACCTCCGCCTCCTGGGTTCAGGCAATTCTCCTGCCTCAGCCTCCTGAGTAGCTGGGATTACAGGCACGCGCCACCATGCCCAGCTGATATTTTGTAGTTTTAGTAGAGACGGGGTTTCACCGTGTTGACCACGATGGTCTCGATCTCTTGACCTCGTGATCCACCCGCCTCGACCTCCCAAAGTGCTGGGATTACAGGCGTGAGCCACCGCTCCTGGCTTTTTTTTTTTGAGACAAGAGTCTCGCTCTGTTGCCCAGGCTGGAGTGGGCAAACCCAATGGCGTGGTCTTGGCTCACTGCAACCTTTACCTCTCAGGTTCAAGCAATTCTCCTGTCTCAGCCTCCTGAGTAGCTGGGATTACAGGTGCCCACCACCACTCCCGGCTAATTTTTGTGTTTTTAATAGAGACGGGGTTTCACCATGTTGGCCAGGCTGGTCTTGAACTCCTGACCTTGTGATCCACTCGCTTGTGCTTCCAAATTGCTGGGATTACAGGTGTGATCAACCACGCCCATCCTTGTTGTGGTTTTGATTTGCATTTTCCTGAGGACTAAGGATGCTGAGCATCTTTCATGTGCTTCTTGGCCATTTGTGAATCTTCTTTGAAGAAATGTAGGGTCCAGCCCTGCAGGGTCGTGGGGTGTCCCCTGTGGCTGTGCTGAGGCACTGGATCCGAGAAGTAAAGAAACAAGACACCAGAAATGACTGGATAAGCGCAGCTGGGCAGGGGGGCCAACGCCACTTGTAAGCAGAGACAGGCGAGGCTCCGAGCATCCAAGTGCATCTGTATTTATTAGGTATAGGTCAGGGGGAAGGCTAGTGAGTGAGGTCATCTTAAGATAGTGATAGGGCGAAGACAATTACGTGAGCGATAAGCAAAGGGCCCACCTCCATTAGGTCATTGAGACAAGGAGGTGGGCAGTACACGGGGCCCACCCCCATTAGGTCACCAAGGCAAGGAGGTGGGCCGTGTGCGGTAAGGAGGGTGCATTGTGCAACAACTCTTACCTAGGGGCAGGCAACTTCTAAGGATTTCTATGGGCGGAGTCTTCCAAGGATTTCTATGGGGGGAGTCTTTGAGACAGCATACAGCATTCAGATCCTTTCCCATTTTTGAAACTACACCTGGCTTTTTTTTTTTTTTCAAGTGAAGTCTCACTCTGTTACCCAGGCTGAAGTGTAGTGGCGTGATCTTGGCTCCTGCAGTCTCCACCTCCTGGGTTCAAGCACTTCTCCTGCCTCAGCCTCCCGAGTATCTGGGATTACAGGTGCATGCCACCACACCTGGCTTTTTTATATTTTTGGTAGAGATGGGGTTTCATCATGTTGGCCAGGCTGGTCTCAAACTCCTGACCTTGTGGTCCACCTGCCTCGGCCTCCCAAAGTTCTGGGACTACAGGCATGAGCCACCGTGCCTGGCCTACTGCACCTGGCTGTTAAGGGCTATGTGGAGTCTGGTGTGCCACCGTACCACCATTTATTCGGCTGTCTCCTCTGCTCCAACCTTTTCCCCAGAGGCTGATGCCGCCTTTCCTTCCTTGACAGATCCTGGACTCAGAGTTGTTCGAGCTGATGCATCAGAACGGGGACTACACTCACTTCTACTTCTGCTACCGCTGGTTCCTGCTGGATTTCAAGCGAGGTACAGACTTTAAACTGGGGACCTGTCTCCAGACTCTTGGTAGCAGAACTTTCAAGGGGAAGGGTCCCATGGAGATGAGGTTGAGGGGTTTGCAGCACAGGCGGTGGAGGAGAGAAGCACACGTTACGGAGTTCAGACTGTCGCTTCGCCTGCCTTGTCTTGCACTGGCCCTCTGCAGAGGGTGCTGTTAAGATCCTCATCTTACCAGTGAGGAAACCGAGGCTGAGAAGGGTTAACTTCAGAGCTAGGGCGAGTACAGCCAGGATCTGAACCCACCTCCTCCATTCGTATCAGAGCCCAAGAACCCCAAAGCCCATGAGGCCAGGTTTATTTCATGCATGTTTCCAACATGACGTAAAAGTGATGTATAACACAGTACCTTGTTGCTATTGTTCAGATTTGGGGTGATGTTAGTAATTATAATAATATCTGACATGGGCCGGGTGCAGTGGCTCACGCCTGTAATCCCAGCACTTTGGGAGGCCAAGGCCGGAGGATCACGAGGTCAGAAGATCAAGACCATCCTGGCTAACACAGTGAAACCCTGTCTCTACTAAAAATACAAAAAATTAGCCAGGTGTGGTGGCACACACCTGTAGTCCCAGCTACTCAGGAGGCTGAGGCAGGAGAATCGCCTGAACTTGGGAGGCAGAGGTTGCAGTGAGCTGGGATGGCACCACTGCACTGCACTTCAGCCCGGGCAACAAAGAGACTCCATCTCAAAAAAAAAAAAAAAAAAAAAAAAGGCCAGGCGCTGTGGCTTACGCCTGTAAGCCCAGCACTTTGGGAGGCCAAGGCAGGCAAATCACGAGGTTAGGAGTTTGAGACTGGCCTGGCTGGCATGGTGAAACCCCGTCTATACTAAAAATACAAAAAACTTAGCTGTGTGTAGTGACAGGCACCTGTAGTCCCAGCTACTCAGGAGGCTGAAGCAGGAGAATGGTTTGAACCCAAGAGGCAGAGGCTGCGGAGAGCCGAGACTGAGCCACTGCACTCCAGCTTAGGCTGTGACAGAATGAGACTCTGTCTCAAAAAAAAAAACCAACTCTGACATGTATGGTGCTTTAGTGCCATGCACTGTGCTGAGTCATTTATATGTATTAGCTCTTTAGTCTTTTTCTACTGTCAGCTTCGCCCCACTTATAGATGAGGAAAAAGAGAGGCTGATGGAGAAGTAAGTACCCCAGGGTCCCCTTGCCAGCAAGTGATGGCGGAAGGATTCACACCAAGTTTATCAGACATAGGAAGCCTTGCTTTTAACCATCACTCTATTCTGTCTCTTCACTAGACTCAGAAACTACAGCAGCCTCTGCCAGTGTGTAGGGGAAAGGAGAGAGGCCTCCAGGGGTGCTAATGGAGATTGGAGTGCAGGGATAGTAGGTGTTGCTGGTTGAAGGGGCAGAGCAAGGACAGATCCATATAATACAAACCCACGCATGCCTGGTTCCTCCACTCACAGAATGTCAGAGCCAGAAGGAACTTAGCACTCATCTGGTTCACACAGCCCATCCTACAGATGGGGAAAACTGAGGTTTCTGGTGGTCAAATGACAGAGTCCAGATCTCCTGCCTTTTGACCTGAGTTCTGTCCACTGCACCGGGTCAGAGACGTAAGGCAAAACTTGCCCGGGATTTTCCCAGAGGGGCTTCCCAAGGGAGGGCCACGCTGTGAGCTCTGTCGCCAGTTCTCTCCCCACGCGCGTCGGTGTCTTGGCAGAACTCGTCTATGATGACGTCTTCCTGGTCTGGGAGACCATCTGGGCAGCCAAACATGTCTCCTCTGCACACTACGTCCTGTTCATCGCGCTGGCTCTGGTGGAAGTCTACCGCGACATCATTTTGGAGAACAACATGGATTTCACAGACATCATCAAATTCTTTAATGGTACCCACATGACTGGGGCCTCATGAGAGGGGTGCAGGCTTCTGCAGGCCCCTTCTGGGGGTCTCAGGAGGCATGAGAATGGGCTGAGATGGATGTATGGTGAAGGGCATGAAGAGGGCTCTGCCCACTTCTTATGGCTATTCCCAGAAAGACAAGTTGACATCCTGTCATGCTGAGGGTGCATTTTTCTCAGGGGTCTGGCAGAGGGAGCACGGGTGTTGAAATCAGCTCAGGGGCAAAGCCTGGTTCTACCGCTGACCAGCTGTGTCCGTGGACAAGTCACTTCCCCTCTGGGTAAACATCCGCTTCCTCATCTGTGAAATGGGGCAGCAGTGTCTGCTTTGGAGGGTTGACATGCACAGGAAAAGCAGACGCAGGACAGCAATTGAAGTAACACAAAAAAGACACAGCCTTTGAAATCAGACAGCTGTGAATTCTGATCCAGGCTCTTGGGAGCTGTGTGACCTTGTCCAAGTGACATCACATCTCTAGGCCTCGGATTCTTCAGGGATAAAATGGTACTAACACTCACTCATTCACAGGGAGGCCCAGAGGATTACATGAGACAGCATGGGTAAATCCCAGCATTCGGTACCTGGCTCACATGAGGAACTAATAATTGAAAACTATCGCCAATGTTATCACGATTTAATTTTTTTTTTGAGACGGAGTTTCGCTCTTGTTACCCAGGCTGGAGTGCAATGGCGCGATCTCGGCTCACC